TCAAATCACATTAGTTTTAAAAAGCACAATTCCTTTACAAACCATATTAGCATTACCACCCACCCCCCCCGATTACACGCGTCACATATATATTTAAACGCATCACAAAAGCATTCACACTCACATATTATCTTTTTACACAAAAACAATTACATTTACCAGCTCACCTTCCATTACCGCACACAATTCTTTAAAAGCATCACACTTCAGCTTTTACCAGCACACATTTCAGCATTTACACACAACATATCAGTATTTAACAGCATCAATATCGATTTAACAGTGTCAATATCGCTTTATCAGATCCACTCCGCATTTTACAGTATCACACCCCGCTTTAAAAGCATCACACTCAGTTCACAGCGTAATATCAGCATTACACAGCGCCAACAGATTTAACAGTGTCACATATCGTTTTTACAGCCCTTTCAGCTTTTACCGGCACTATCGCATTTACAGTGCACATATCATTTTTTTTAACGCTCAATATCGCTTTTTAAACAGTGTCAATCTCAGCATTTATACAGCATCAATATCAGGCATTTATTACAGCATCACATATCAGCATTTACACAGCGTCACATATCAGCATTATACAGTGTCACATATCAGTATTTATACAGCATCACATATCAGCATTTACACAGTGTCAGATATCAGCATTTATACAGCATCACATATCAGCATTTATACAGCATCACATATCAGCATTTATACAGTGTCACATATCAGTATTTACACAGCGTAACATATCAGCATTTATACAGCGTCACATATCAGCATTTATACAGCGTCACATATTAGCATTTTCAGTGTCATACATCAGCATTTACACAGTGTCATACATCAGCATTTACACAGCGTCAGATATCATAATTTACACAGCGTCAGATATCATAATTTACACAGCGTCAGATATCATAATTTACACAGCGCCGCACTCCAGTAGTTACACAGCATCACATATTAGCATTTACATGGTGTCATATACCAGCATTTACAGTGTCATATACCTGCATTTACACAGCATCACACTCCAGCATTTACACAGCGTCACATACCAGCATTTACTTTAACATAAAGTCAGCTTTTGTCACTGAAATGGACAAATACTGCTGTGTGTCTGGTAAAGTTCTGTTATAAGTCAGGGGACGTTCTATGATACGTCTTAAGTATTTTCATATATCAGGTAAAATACTGACACATTTCAGAAAATGTACTGTCATATGTCAGTTAAAGTACTCACATATCAGGTGAGGTACTGTCACATGTCAGGTGAAGTACTGACATATGTCAGATAAAGTGGTGTTACATGTCAGGAAAAGAACTTTAATCTGTCAGGTAAAGTACTGTCACCTGTCAACTTTTCTCTTGTTTCCAATAAGTCAGGGGTAAAGGCTAGGTCTGAACATTCAGGTGGTATCACAGTCAGACTGGACATTTAACTCTTTGAGTCCCAAGGAACGCATCACGCGCAGATTTGTTGCTACTTCACGGCCCAAACAGCGTGTGACGTGTGAAGGTTTTTAATTTACCACTTATCGGTAATTACACGCGAACCGCTCAATTTAAACTTCCTTTCCGGTTCTCAATGATTATACTGTTTAATGTACACATGGTGAGTGCATCGCTGGGGATGGTGAGTTCTTAACATTTTAAATCGATACTTGTGTGGTCATCCTTACGTTAACCAAACAATCATAACCTGAAAACAATGATGTCGATCACATCATCGTCTCCCGCCCATCAAAGTGATTTATATATTACAAGAATCATCCAAAATTTGATAAAACAGTGGATCAATAACCAGTACAGGTACAAGTTGGATAATGGACCAATTCGCGATGTGAAAATTTCCCCAAAAACCGTTTGGACAAGTCAAGTTTTGATGAATCTAAAACAATACACAAATATTAATGAACAGGTGAACAACGCGACCCAGCTTTCCAGTTTTTCTATATGAGGAATTAATGTTTTTAGAAAAGTCACTGTTTGTGCCACTGGGGCAATATATTTGACGTGTATTGGTAGTGTTATTAGTCTGCTATGGAACAACACTAATTGAAAATTTTGATATATATGGCTGTGCATACTTACAAGTGCGGTTGTACCTTCCTTGTGTTGCGTTTTGGATACCACTATTCCCAAGAATTTGGGATCGTAGCTTCTGGGTAAGTGAAAAAACTTGTTTTACTGCTTAGAATCATCAAATTTGAATAAAAACAGTGGGATCAATTAAAGTAATGTGTAAGTTGGATAATGATAGTAGCGATGTGAAAATTTCCCCAAACCCGTTGACAAGTCAAGTTTTTGATGATCTAAAACCATAGATAAATATCTATGCACAGGTGAGCATGTTTTACAGTGCCTTTAACAGTTTTTTATATATGAGGAATTAAATTGATTTTAAAAAGTCCCTGTTGTGGCCACTGGAGAATATATTTTGACGTCGTTATGGTAATGTGTATTAAAATTGCTAATGCGAAACAACAACTATTGCACACTGCTTTAATATTGGCTGTGCATAGTGTTAATAAGTGGTGTACCTTACTTTGCTGTGCATACAATACGGGTGTTTGCGTTTGGATATACTATATCAAAGAATTTTGGGATCAGCCTTCTGGTAAGTGAAAAAAAAAAACTTGTTCATAATTTACCTCACCTCATCAAACTAAAGTCACTGTTTTCTCTACTAAATACTAACTAACAGTATAATTGTTTGTTGTAGCAGTATGCTAATATTAATCCTTATCCATTAATGTTTAATTTTATGTATGATATGTGTATGTTAGACGTCAGCTGCAGTTGTGTGGTTTGTTTTAATGTGCCGCATTTGTAAAAAGTCAAAATCATATTACCCCCCCTTGGGCCTCTGATGCAAAACCCCTTGGGACTCAAAGAGTTAAGTGGTATCACAGTCAACTGGACATTCAGATGATATCACAGTCATACTAACATTCAAGTGGCATCACAGTCTGTGGAGTGGACATTCAAAGTTGTTTATCAGTGGAAGTTAGGCTGGACTTCATTCAAAAGTGGCTACACAGTCACTGGACATTTGAAATAGGTAAATATTCAAGTGGTATCACAGACTGGACTTTCAAATGGTATCACAGCCAGATTGAACATGCTGGACATTCAAGCGGTATCATAGTCAGACTGAAAATTCAAGTTGTATAACTATCAGACTGGACATGCAAGTGGCATCACTATCAGACTTGACATTTACGTGGTGTCAGTCATACTGCACATACTAGACATTCAAGTGGTATCACAGTCAAACTGGACATTCAAGTGGTATCACAGTCCGATTAGACATTCTATTGATATCACAGTCAAACTGGACATTCAAGTGGTATCACAGTCAGATTAGACATTCTAGTGATATCACAGTCAGACTGGAAATTCTAGTGGTATCACAGTCAGACTGGACATTCATGTTGTAACACAGTTAGACTGGACTCCCATGAGGTAACACAGTCACACTGGACATTTATGTGTAACACAGTCACAGACAGGAGAGGGTAAGGGGATACAAGATTATCTTTTTGTGTAGTTTCTGTTGCTGTCTCTTCGATGGGCTACACTATTTTTGAATTAATAAAGACAGACCAGTTCTCTCTGAATCGACCCAATTACAGTTCCTGAATAGGGTGTTTGAGCCACATTTTAGCACCGCTGACTGCAGAATCTCTGACTGTTTATAAAGTTGCAAGCTGTGGCATAATGTGACACAAATCTGACCTTTCACAAATCTCTCTGACTGCATATAAAGATGCACACTGTGGCATAATGTGATACAAATCTGACCTTTCACAAATCTCTCTGACTGCATATAAAGATGCACACTGTGGCATAATGTGACACAAATCTGACCTTTCACAAATCTCTCTGACTGCATATAAAGATGCACACTGTGGCATAATGTGACACAAATCTGACCTTTCACAAATCTTTCTGACTGCATATAAAGATGCACACTGTGGCATAATGTGACACAAATCTGACCTTTCACAAATCTCTCTGACTGCATATAAAGATGCACACTGTGGCATAATGTGACACAAATCTGACCTTTCACAAATCTCTCTGACTGCATATAAAGATGCACACTGTGGCATAATGTGACACAAATCTGACCTTTCACAAATCTCTCTGACTGCATATAAAGATGCACACTGTGGCATAATGTGACACAGATCTTTCAGAAATCTCTCTGACCGCATATAAAGATGCACACTGTGGCATAATGTGAAACAGTTCTTACTTTTCCCCAGTCTCTGTGCCTGAGTATATTATGTTTTGAGCTCAGGCAAATGAGATACACATCTTACCTTTCCCCAATCTCTGTGACTGTCTACATCATCACAAGACAAGGCGATGAGCTTGACATTGCGTTTCTTAAACTCTTCCTCCATAGTGACCACCTTTGCCAGCTCGCTGGTACACACAGGAGTATAATCAGCGGGATGGGAAAACAGCATTGCCCATCTGAAATTATTCACACAGAAGTAGAATAAGTGTGATGGGAAAACCACTGTGCCCATCTGAAATCATTCACATAGAAGTAGAATAAGTGTGATGGGGAAACCACTGTGCCCCTTTGAAATCATTCACACAGAAGTAGAATAAGTGTGATGGGAAAACCGCTGTGCCCATCTGAAATCATTCACACAGGAGTATAATTAGCGAGATAGGAAACCAGCAATGCCCATCTTAAATCAATTACTTCTTCTTCTCTTCCACCTTGTAGCTCATCGAAGTGTCGGGGGGAGATGTAATGTTCGTTAATGAGCTCTGTCAAGAGCACTATTTAGACTGATGTTCATTTCTGTAAGGCTATTCTTAATGCCATCACTCCATGTTTACCGAGGTCTTCCACTCGCTCTATACCCATTGTAATGTTTTATGTGGCTCGCTGTGGCAGATAGTACCAGGGCATTCTTGTTAGGTGTCCAAACCACTTTATTCACAAAGTAGTATACTCAGTGGGATAGGAAAACAAAATTGTCAACAGCACAACAAAACTGACACCACTTACTGAAGAAAGAAAGAAAGAAAGAAGGGAAGAAAAAGCCCCAATGGAAGAAGCAGCAGAAGAAGAAAAAAAAAGATTAGGAGGAGAAGGAGAAGAAGAAAGAGAAGAAAAGAAGAAAAAAAGATGAGGAAGAAGATTAAAAAGAAGAGGAAGAAGAAGAAGAAGAATAAAAAAAATTAGAGGAAGAAGAAGAAGACTCACATTAAAAGTTTGCTTACAAAAGATGACAAGCGAAGTATCAGACTGTGTTTGCCAAGAACTAGTCTGTTTATCGCAAATAATGTAGAAATTTACAGCTTTGTCCAAGAATTGTGACAGTGTGAGATGGGCAACAACCTCCTTCCCATTCCCATTTTCTCAGTTTTAACTACATGACACAATAATGTCACGGATGACAGCTGCTTGTGTTTCTGTGTTCTGTGGAGTTTTTAAAATTCCAGTGACTGACCTGGTAGAACAACTGGAATAGCTTTGTTACAGCTGGCCTATGTGCTTTAATAAGGCACTGGTGGAATGGACGCTACCATATATTTCATCAACTATGGTGGTCCTACAAGTTTAAAAAAAAAATGTACAGTGCATGTCTACAGAGGCAGACAACTTACGAGTCCGAGATCCAGTCGTGGAAACTTTCGATCCGGCCATCAGAAGTGTCTGCGGCGAAGTCAGGAAACAGGTCTCCCAGGTGTACCATCTTAATGCTGGACGATACAGACAGATGGGCAATCTGAACGCTACAAGCAGCTCACAACCGTCCCTCGGCTATCTCCCTGCACGGGTGGCAGAAACACAAAAAATTAAGAAGACAATTGCTGTACAACTGGAAATCACGGCAAGTGCTGGAGCTGGCCGTGCAGGACATAAATTCAGCTCCCCTGCAGCAAATGAAATGAACGAAGAAGAGAAAAAGAAACTTAAGCCCACAAGTCAAACATACCTGCTTCTTCTTGCTCTCCCAACATGTTAGACAAGAAGAAAGAAACCAGCTCCACTGTAGACGGATCAAACATACATTCTCTCTCAACAACGGACGAAACAAGAAGAAATAAACTTTAGCTCCACTGTAATTAAGCCTAGAAGTCAAACATACCTGTTTGTTGCCGCTCTCTCAACAACGGTAGACAACAAGATTACGAAGAAACGTTTGCTTGACTATACACAAATCAAACACTTTTTCTCTCAACAACGGCAGAAATGAGAAGAAAGAAAGTTTAGCTCGCCTATAACTGAAACAAACCTGCTCTCTGCCAGACGACAACCAGAAGAACAAGAATCAGAAAGAATGCACAAACTAGAAGCGTTTTTCTTTCAACCTCACCAACTGCCAATTGACTAGAGTTGCCAAAAAAAAAAAAACGTAATTTTACGCCAAACTACTGCCAACATTACGCCAAAAAAAAAAAAAAGCCAAATAAAATGTAACATTTACATTGTACTCACTTCACATCAAAAGCTCTAGATTGAATTCCTGCCTGTCATCCTCACTAGAACAAGTAGAAGATACAGCGTAAACATTTGCAGACTAAAGTGCAGGCGATCTAATATTTTTTTTAAATTTTTCACGAACTTTAGTTATATGCATCTGTATGTGTTCCAATGTACTTCCCCTCCCCGACCATGTGCTATCATGATCAGTTGTGCGTATTGCACAATGGCAGTTCATGTTTACAGCAATTTGCAGATTTTCTACCTTCATCATTATTTTGCCTAGCAATCATTGTTGTAATAAGCTGTGGCTGGCTTTTTGGCGCAGTTTTCACCCTTAAAAAAAAATGATTTTTCATGATTTGATATGCTACTAATTCTTGGTGCAACAGTGCACTGACACTGTCTGCAATATGCTGCCTCTGATCCGTCTGAAGATCTTTTGAGCCATGGGTATGTTTTTTCCCAATTACTATTATACTTGTGCTTACTGCCATTAGAAGCTTTTCTTTTGTGTGTGTGTGCGTGTGTGTGTGTGTGTGTGTGTGATAATGGACCCATTGGTAAAAGTCAGATTTTTAAGAGCATGCATCTTTCCCATTGCAACATACGCCTGTGAGACCTGGACACTTATAAACAAGCGGAACAACGCATAAATGCATTTGAATATAAATGTTACAGACAGGTTCTAAGAATATCTTGGGTAAAGAAAAGAACAAATGCATCCATACTTCAAGAGCTGAATATTGAAGAGGGTTGGCTAGTAAAGACAATAAAACAAAGAAAATTGAAATATTTTGGTCACTTGAAACGTCATGGAAGTCTAGAGAGAACAATAATGGAGGGGTATATGCCTGGGAAGAGAGGAAGAGGAAGGCCAAGGAGAAGATGGGTGCAGGATGTGGCAGATGATCTCCAGATGGGTGTATCAGACGCAGGACATCTTGCTCATGATAGGAAGGTTTTCCGGAGGGTTGTTATGGCAGCGAGGTTCCGCGAGGGACATGCTACTGAATGAGTGAGTGACCAGCCGTACTAGGACATCACAACGAAGACAAACTGAAAGACAGATGTTAACTATAGGCCTACATTGCTTGTAAATTAGCGTGTTTCTCAAGAAAGAACTATGAAGAAAATGTGAGCACGTCTTGCTTAAAAAAGCCAGGAAAAACCAAAATACGCCAATTTGTGAAAACTGGCGTAAAAAGCCAATATGGCAACCCTGCAATCGTCTGATCCTGCAGACGGCCTTGAATCTGACCTCCCGTTGACCTGGCAACGGCTTTCTCCTGTTTTGCCGACAAGCGTTTCTATAGCGCACACTGCATTCCGTAACAACCAGCAAAACTGGATCACGCACTTCTCGAAATAACATCACATGCGTTCACCAACATCATGTGCCGTACTGAAACGAGTGCGGGATCGTGGCTGGTTAACCCGCCAGCGTGCTTTCTTGCTTATACCAGGTGGTCAAGTCATCCTTGTCTTTCCTTGCTCCTTCCTTATCAAATATCCGATATTGTGGCTACGTTGTTGGTTCCCCCCCCCCTTTTCTTTTTCATAACAACCCCATAAGAATATTACTAAGTCTGATTTCTCGAATCCTTATTTTTTTCTTGAGTTATGAGTTAAGAACCGACATCTTAGCACTCGGAACATTCACATAAACGCTTCGCCTCCATCTTCAACAGTAAGCGCAAAGTTGCAATTCCGATGGTACCAGTAGCAATCTAATTGTGTGTCGGTCTCACCCCTCCAATTTGTGCTAAGCATGAACCGGATCTCTTGGTCAGTCCTCGCTGCACTATTCTCTTCAGAGAAGGAGGTGATCTATTTATACATCCGTACCGAAGGATCCTTGCAGCATATAGCTTGTTTTTCATCAATTTAACACTAGGTGGTGCAGCACCAGCCAATCTATATGGCTGTTAATTTCTCAACACATCGGAACGACCTGGAGAAAATATCAAAAGATGCTAACTACTATCACATATCACTCCTGTCACGTGCCTGAAATAAGGATTTCTCCTTCAGAACCAACAGCACTCAGAAATAATTATGTTGAGTCGTTTGGCTCGTATTGGTCTAAGGGATTCCCCGTGGCCAATATACGCTCAACTTCTTTCTAGAGTAGGGCAACTCAAGTATTGGCACTACAGAATATATCTGTATATGAATACAATATTCCTAGGCACACTTGGCTGGACACCCCCACTACTTACTAAAGAAAGCCCCCAGGTTATGATAGTTCATTATCATAACCATGTTAACACATATATTTAAGATTCATACACACACAAATGCTAAACACTTAAAAAGGTGAAATAGAGACACCTAAGTCAGCCATGAAAATGAATGCATGTAATCAATACAACATATACATATATATAATAGTGAAGTAGATGCCAGATCTCAATAGCTGGATTCCAGAATACAATGTCCAGATTGCAAAGACAACTAAAAAGTCAAAATGATCTGGAGATGACACAAATTCATCCTCGGGAAACATGGGAACTGTGAGGAATACAGCAAAACATGGCATCAAACTGGCACTTATCCTCTTTCTATCGTTGATGCTTCCCTCAGCTCCTGATGATTCGACTGTCTTTGGTAATTCTGCTTCAACTGGATCGGATGGTGGAGAAGTACCTCACCATAAAGGACACAGCAACTGGATAGGCACTTAACAAATCTCTCCCACTAGTCATTCGCAGCACTGTCCCTGAGCTACACACATGCTCTGGCACTGTAGGATGTTTGGGGTATATGGCACCCCAAACTGACATCAATCTCCACACCTGGTAGTTGGGTGATAATTGGTAGGCAATGGGTTGATGGTTGGTTGGTTGGACTGTGATTC